AGGGGGCCCTATGGACCTCTCAGTGTGGGTACCAGGGGGCGCTATGGACCTCTCAGTGTGGGCACCAGGGGGCACTATGGACCTCTCAGTGTGGGTACCAGGGGGCGCTATGGACCTGTCAGTGTGGGCACCAGGTGGCACTATGGACCTCTCAGTGTGGGCACCAGGGGGCGCTATGGACCCGTCGGTGTGGGTACCAGGGGCTACCATGGATCACTATTGGTACCAGGCAGTACCATGAATCTGTCGGTGTGGATACCAGGAGGTACCATGGACCTCTATCAGTGTGGGTACGATGAAAGGCCTCTCCAAGCACTGGTACCAGGCAATGCTATGGCCCTCTGTCAGTGTGGATTACAGCAGGTGAATTATGCTGGCCACAACAGGTATCTACTCCTATAAAAGGTGAGTGTCTATCACAGACAGAGATATGTATTCTGGCTCTCTCAGTGTGATACAGCGTAACATGACCTTTACGAATACTACATATACTGACTTAGATGTAGCGAAATACTGATTAAATGTGGCTGGAAAGTCTACCCAAGACATATGGTCCAATACACATGATATTGTACAACTCAATATACAATCCAAACTAAATATACACATCCTGGACAAAGAAACATGGCTATCTTCATACAAGCAGGAACAACAGTCAGTATGGCAGGTACAATATTACACATCGTTACACATATGTATACACTTCTCATTTATCTCGGGTATGGGAACAAAGAGGTAAATATGATAAATGCAAAGACGACGTGCCCGAATGATTACATTACAGAAATGATGATTCACTCATGACCTCACACGACATGGCCATCAGACCTGATAATACACTTCATCCACACACAGGATGGATGCAACAAATCTGCCGCAAAAACATTTATAAAATACATAAATCTGCGAACCGCCGACAGGTGAGACTAAAAAAGTAAGTCAATCGAGGCATAAATGCGTTTTATGTTTACTGTGGTGGCAAATTGCAATGCATTTCTGGACACCTGAGTGACCGGAAAAGGTCGTCTTGTGCTACACCAGTTAAGACTATAAGACTGTAAAACATGATGTAAGGTTGTGTAGAATATTATCAGGTCTATGTTCATACACAACCTGGGATGTAGACACCATGTTGCATTAATACACTACGTCAAGGCTAGCCTCAGTGACTGCTTTGTCATCTAGGGGAGACAACTCTATTATGCTTCAACAAATATTTTTCTGAACGAAAATATAACATACAATATTCATATTCTTATTCATATAAATATTCATCAGATACCTACAATGTTACAAATTCAGCTAATGCTATCATTAAACCATTGCACAGAGAATGAAAATCAGAGTGATAGTAGAGTGTTTTTGTCATAGTCCTTATTTGAACTCTAAAGGTGGCCTTAGATAAAGTATAGCAGGGCTAACCCTAGGGCCCTGTCACAAAGCGATCTTAGCGCTAAGGTGATCATAGCTCACCCATACTTTAACCTAGGCTAAGATCATCGTGGCGCTAAGATGACTTTGTGGAATGGGGCCCTGGGACACACGTTAAACGCATCCAAGCCTCAGTTTGTAACCCGGATTAACTCCACATGACATCCACATCCCAGCATCTTCTAACGCAACATGACAATGCTAAAAGTGACGTACACTGAAACCCAAATATTACACACTTTATCAAATGCTTCTGAAATCAACAGCCATTCATCACACACATCACTCTAGTTCCTGCCATCCTAAAGACATTGTGTAAGCCCACCCACTTTGATTTCATCCCCGGAACATATCACATAGGAGTAGACTAAGAAATCGAATTATCACAATCATATTTCAAGGCATTTATAATAATTCATACAATAAAATGGAGATCAAACTCTAGAAAATGCAGTGGTAAAAGACAACTATCACACATACAAGCACAATTATGCAACTGATGACAATTAGGGTTATGATCTTGGGGCAAAATCACAACTACTAACTGCTTATGAATTGATTGTTTGACATTGAACTGCGAGTAAGCTTACAAAATGCAAGAACAATATTAACATGATAAAGGGACAATTACAAAGAAATGTCTTGTTTTTCAGTCTTCAGTCAGTCAGTTATGTTAACAAACCTAGCATGGCTAAATTTCGGGGCATAACTAAAATCCAAAGTCAGGTACATTCAAATTACAATTGGTTACAGGACTGTGTCTTCATTACATTTTCACGACATCAAATAATAATTCAGTTGAAACACAGTAATAATTATATATGAAATATTTTCAAACTATTATTTCGCTATGGTCAACAAATCGGGTTGAAACAATATTTGTTGACCCTGATTTGTATACCTGAAACTCTGGTTTTTGATGTGTACGAGATGAATGCATTCTTTTTCCAGTGATAAAGACTGGCAGGTCCTAATTCCATCCGTCAGATTCCAGTGCTAGTGATATTGATCAAGTGATCACATAATCAATTGATCTGGACAATCAAAACAATTATCGGTTGAAAATATATTTTATATTTTATCATCTATATTGTAATCTTAATGATGTTCAAAAGGCTGTAATATTTTTTAATGTTTCTAATCAGGTAGTAAGTATAGGTTAGTATCTGTTGATGCAATTGTACTCTCAGTAAGCTGAGCTTTGTCTCTTGACGTCTGCCTGAAGTGAGCTGATTAACTCCATTGTCACTTCAATTGTTTCATATTTATTTAATGCGGGGGGAAAAGTTTGCAATCAATGAATTATTCATAAGTAGGCTCATAATATTTATGTCAATATTCATATTGGATACCATCACAAATTGTCATTATTTCACATAATTCCCACCGGAAACATGGCAAGAAGAGACAGTGTTTGTTCAAAACTTGTGTCGATTAACGATGGTGAAATCTGCAGTGCTCTACTTGCTACTAGCTCTGAACCGCCTACGCCAGCATGTGGGGAAATCGGAATATATACATCTGTACACATGGAGCCTTCCCAGGGGGCCATGGCATGAGCAAACAGGAAGTTATTAGGACAAAACATGGCGTGTTGAATGCAATGTATACAAGGTCGTCTTGGACCAGGGGACACAACCAGAGGAAAATTTGCCATTTGGATAATGGACAAGTTGATGAAACTGATGCTCAATGATGATTCATGTGTGTATTTGGTACAATGCTATGATCAAACCCAAAATATTTGGTAGACTGCTACATTTTGATTTTTAAATACTTAGGGAGTACACATAATGATGGATGTACTAAGTTTTCAAAAGAAAATTAAATTCCTAATTTATGACATTACGAAACATAACCACAAACATCATCAATTATTATTATCATCATCTGATTATAGTTTCTGTTAGTAACACAACCATCATCATGAACAATGGTGCACTTTCTAATTAACAAGTTTCTAATTAAGTGAAAGTTTTCAAAGTCTTTACATAAATCTGTGGATGTGAGTTTTCCAATACTGTACACAAAATGTTAATTTTATCTGTCACATCATTATCTGAGGCCAACACATCAGTCATGATGATATAAATTCAGTTGAGTTCGTACATGACGACATACATCATGTTATGTTAGCACAGACGAAACATGAGACATGAAATTAATCAATGCGACAATAACGTTAAAGCAAAACTGAAGATTGTGATTTAACAAAGAATGAAATTTCTCAATAAAATACATCCCACATTACTTATAAAACAACACTAATCCTATAAAAGTAATACTATCACAGATGGATACAATTTCTAGATTGTCCTCCCTATTGCATCAGAGGAGACTCCAGTACCCCATGTGTACATGTAATAATTCATATCTTTCTGAAACAAACCTTTTACTTTGGTTTTTATCAAGGGAATTGAGGACTGACACAAACATTCCTGATGGAGTAAGCACCTCTATATTCTATCTAACAATATTGCACATGCATTGAATTTCGTGATACACCAACGGCCTTCATACAAATTCAAACTAAATGAAGCAAGGCTACCCTTTGTGAGTATGTGAGGTTGACGCCCCTTTGAACAGTGTTTTAGTTAAATCACAATGTACATTTGTACGCTGAATCAATATCTGCTTCCAATGGTTCCAGCAGAGTATACACATAAACAGAAGCTATCATCCAATTAAGTTATTCTGCACATAAGGAACAGACTTCAGGTGCTTACTTCATCAAGCATGTACCAAAACAATTCACGTACATCAATTTGTAATGTGTGAATGTGAACACAAAATAATGTAAATAAAAATCAAATTTGAAAGAAAAAACACAATATTAATACTGACACTCCTCTGATCAAGCATATGTTATCCTTCACAAGAAACACTGAAGATACAGTGGGGGAATACCACTTCACGCTAATGAATCTCTCTATTAGTTTACTTAACTAAAGGACAGGCATAACAAATGAACAGAAAATGTTTATAAAATATTGAAATGTAGTAACAAAACAGGAAACCGAGAACTCAGGCTCTGGCCAACATACTATAGCTTTGGCACAACATATTGCTGACTATAAGGCAGACTTTCGCTTCACATGTATCACATCATGAACCAATATGGCTAGATATAACAACAGAAAACAATTCATATCAACATGGAACGTAATAAATTCATTTATACGTAACAGAACAGACAGTGATATTTTTTCAACCAATGAGACGATAGTTCATGAGAATGCAAACAAGAATAACAAGACTATCAAATGAGACTATGGTGAATTGGAAAGCTAATCGACCAATGAGAGCACATTGCATAAGAGCTAACAGACCAATGAGAACACAGTGTACTAGAGCTGACCAATGAGAGCGCAGTGCATGAGACCTACAGACGAAACAAACTACAGTGCAAGAGAGCATGTATACAGACCAATGCATTGATTCAAAAACATTTTCTCAAAAGTCATTGACTCATCCTGCCTTTGGCATCTTTTACTTTAAATTACAAATATAAAATGTGGAATTCACGACATGTCATATTCATTGATGTAAGGAACAGTAGGTGATAGTCTGGTATTTCTCTGGTAAATACATGAAAATTAAATGGCTGTGTCTAAATGATGTTTTCTGTCTTGATCATTTGATGATTTCTTTTCCAGTTTGCTGGATCCAGGTATTCAGTGCCAAGATCATGAAGATGCAAAAGAGCTTTATATTATATTATGAAAAAAAGAATCTCATTAAAATCAGATCTAATGTCTCGCTATTGCTAAACAAAGATCTGAGGACATCCCATTACGGGTCACGTCAGAAGGACCTTTCATCTGACCAATCAAAGCGTTGCTTAACAGATCATGAAAGGGACAGTCAGAATGTGTTTTCTAACCATGCAACTTCGAAAACGTTAACACAGGGTATTCCAATGACAGTTACGAACTTACGGCCCATACGTTTGATTCCATCAAAATTATCGTCCATCTCTCGCTTCCATGGGAGAAACATTTGAACGGAGGAGGCATTGCACAGTACATTGGAAGCACTGACATACAATTGCAACCATATATTAGACATTCCGGAATGTTCGTTTGTTCAGTTTTCAAAATATTAATCAAGAACTGTGTCAATATATTTTTCAAGCGTAGTCTGAAATGGAAGTCGCCAGTTTGAAATGAGTGCTGTAAATCTCGAAAAAGCTGCTTTCTAATTGGCTGATGTCAACTTCTTGTTAGTCATTTCGTCATCAGTCAAAGTTTGCGAAAGCTCGTTCTGACATGACCCGTAATGGGATGTCCTCAGATCTTTGTTAAGCAGCAACGAGAACTTAGATCTGATTTTAATGAGATTGGGTCTTTCTTTGTGTTAAGTGATTAAGATGTTATAATATATAGTGGCAGGTCAAAAACTGTTCAGAATGGATTGGTAAAATGGTCATTGGTAAATGTCTAAAAGCAAGTCAGAGCTGTGTTATTATGAGTCAGTGACTTAATAGGTACATATTTTTTAACCACTGCATATTTACCACCCTACATGACTACATGAGAGCTAACAGACCAATGACAGCCCAGCGTGTACGCCAGGCATGTTGCTATGAGACATATAGCCTAGACAAGGACATGATGCAAGCTGTGGAGGGGCAGGCATGATGGTGGCAGCAGCAGTGACAGAAGACACAAGCGACAGCAGTTCGTATCAGATCTTGCAATTATTATTCGCAAGAGATCACAATTGATGTTTTCAACTCTAGATGGAAAAATAACACTCCATTTGTCTTGAAGCTACAGAATTAGTTTATCATTCACATCTGTGCCCTCTAATTCTGATTTCAATAATGAACACCAAAGTTGCAGCCATATTGATATTCAGTATCAGATGATACTGACACATCAATCTAAATTAGCCAAATTTGATTGAGAAGGAACCACGATTCTGATATTAAATATACTGTCTTTACCAATATGGAATAATTGAATTCGATCCAAACATTTCATATATGTCATCATATTGCAAAATTCTTGTTTTTCTCAAACACATTACTCTTTCAAGCAAAATAGTGTCATCAAAACAATACAGCAGACGTGAAATTATTGGACCCTGTCAGGAGCTGAGTTCAACCCTGTCAGGAGCTTCGAGTTGTTAATGTGGTTAAGTTGTAGAATCTTCTCATACTGACATTTCTTCTGTGAAACATCTTCATGACATTAATGTCACATCGCTCCTCGTGTTATTTCAAAGATACATCGATACTCATACTACGATGTCACTCCAGCCTTACGTCTCCGCCGACATTACTTCAAAGTTACATCTCTGCCAAGGTTATTTCAGCGTCGCATCTCCGACGAGGTTACTCCAAAGATATGTTAACCTGCTGTTACCCAGATGCTGTGACTGTGCCCTCCTCCTCATCATCGACATCACTCCTGAAAATATAGATATAATATCTTTAAACTAAAGCTGTTTGAAATGCAAACAAGAATCCTGAAATAGCAACACAAACGTGGTAACTGAAAATGAACTGAAGAGAAGCCATGAATCCCCAGATTGAAACTGTAGATCTGTAAAAAATGCTATTCCTGATTTGAGCCACAGACAGAATACAATAACCTACATCACTGAACACATTGACTTCATCCTGAACCCTTTGATCACCTTGCCTGAAACCCAATGCATCGAAACTACAGCTCTGACACTAGCCTGTCTCACAGTCCCTGAGCCATATTATTTTCCCACCCAGCCCTAACTATAGTTCTATAGCCCTAAACGAAGCAAGTCTAGATTTTCCCAGGTTCAGGAATCTCCCATCTCACCGGGGCTTTTCATTCATTCATTCATTCATTCATTCATTCATTCATTCATTCATTCATTCATTCATTCATTCATTCATTCATTCATTCATTCATTCATTCATTCATTCATTCATTCATTCATTTTTCTTTTCTTTTTTTAATTTTTTAATTTTTTAATTTATTTATTTATTTTCAGAGACTAAGCGTAAGTCTACTCTGACACGTTCTTGTGAGTGAATGTTATATTTTGGCCAATGAACCACTCCATCTGATCAACCATGAAGCTTGTGTTTAATAATGTGATTGTCATCTTGTAGCACTGTGCAGAAATACTGGCTGTCGTAACTTCCCCAGGATAATGAGCAAGGGTTCGAGGAATGAAATGTATGCAATGATACATGGTTATAATCATTCTGTTACCCAGTGCATTAAATCTCCATTCTACTATGACAAATACCATGGATCCTGCTACTTCGTTTTCGGTCTCACCTTAACAAGACCACCATCACCATTCCCCGTTCACTGTTCCTTCATGTTTTGGAAACACGTGGGGACAAAAACCAATATTTGACTCGCCTTGCTACTCATTCCTCATAATCAATTGGGAACATCTGGTAGCGTTAATCTATACACTTCATTCAGAACATACAATTTCAATGGGTTTTCCTATTTCAGTCTCATGAGCAATAGAAACTCTGTGCTAGGCTAGTGATAAGAGAGGTAGAGGCAGTGGCGTCACTTCCAAACAAAGCTATGGTAACGAATGGTTTCAGGGTATTTATTACAATAGAATGGAGACATAATACACTGGGTAATCAAGGTTTAGGTGATAATGCTGAAAATAAAATGATAAAGGTTAATCTTGATACCTGTCACCGAGAGTCGGATCTACATTTACAAGTAAGAGGTGTATGGAGAAGCAATAATCTGTGACATGACTTGCAGTTTTGGAGGAGACAACCCTATATATTTACAAACTACTGCTACCCTGGTTTAAAGCAACAGAAAACTTAGTTCTTACAGTCAAACTTAAAACCCTGTGTTGATTAGCATGGGGATAATGTAGACTTCAGATTAAGAGTTACCTCCCTTTGGTTTGAGTAGCCAAGGAGGACAACATTCGACTTCGACATTACTTTACTTTATTCATTTTTATATTATTGATTAAATACAACCATCAAGACTTAAAGTTGGTTGACAACTATCACAATACAATCGCAGTAGTGAAAATACCCCAAAGTCACCCTTAGCTATAACGTAGTGACGATATATGCTAAACGACAGGAGCTATGACAGATGGCAGTGTAATATTACATTATGAAACAATAGCCAGATCCTGATGCCGCTTTGAACAAGAACAGTACATCGGTTGTATACAGAGGGTGATTTGCAGGAATCCTACATTCAGTAGTTTTCAGCTTCATTACATCAAGTGATCGAGGTTTTACACTGCCCTCAGCAATAATTCAGCAGCATTCAGCAACAAGAAATGGGCTTCGCATAATTACATTGTACCCATGTGGTGAGTTATCCGATCTTCAGCATAATGTGTCAATGCTTAATGACAAAGCTATATACCCCACCACCCTTGTCACATTACATAAACATCAGCATCCATAGATATTTGCATACTGCAGTGTAAGTCAAACAGCAAGAATTGGTTTTGTTAATGTCGTCTTAAGGATGAGTTGCTGCCATTGATAGTTCCTTATCAAGTAATGGCTACAATTTTATTTGGTAGGAAAATCTGGTGTTTTTTCACACAAAACAAACAGTTCAGTTTCTTAAACAGTTCTTGAACTCATATTGAGAATATTGGAAACAGTACCAATATCATTCTCAGGAATCATCCCCGTAGGATGCCAGAAATATTCTAAAAAAATATCTTATTATTTTTTACCTCATGCACTGATCTGCAACTGAATCGTGTCAATCAAATCTAAAAATAATGCCCGATCTACGAATGCAGGCAATATCAGTAAACAGTAAGAAGCACTACAGGACAATAGCATTAATAGTTGCAGTAAGATACATATTTGACCTTTAAATAGTAATAGTAACCCAATACAATTATCAATAGCAAGCAAGCAGATCAATAATCTATTATAATATTCTTTTCTAATATATCTTGCATTAATTCTTCCCAGGGGGAAACAAGGCTAAAAATAATAATTATCCAAATCATTATCATCGGACCTCGTTCAAAATAGAGACAGTTCAGGACACGGTGCTAAGAAACAGCAGTCAACAAAAATCACCTCTTGAAACTTGAAACTAAAAAAACAAACTAAAAAATAACCATGCATGTATTCGTTAACTACTAACATCTCAAATGACAAACAAAATGTGGTGTCAGCAAACTGAGTAAAACATGCGTTTACCTAATTCTGAGCGTCGGAAGCTAGCAGTGGGAAAACCACAAAGTCTATAAAGAAGATGGAGATGATCACAAAACACAACAGGAAAGAAGGAAGGCAGCGAATGGCCATGCTCAGGGTGACGCGGGCTCACGGGGGCTGGTGTTAGCCGAGGCCACTTTGTATCGCCGCCGCCTGCAAAACAAAAGGCAGTGCAAAAACTTCCCCAAACTGAAAAGGGAAGTCACAACCACATATAATAGAGGCTACTATTGTTTAAACAGGTGAGTAAAAGAATGTTATATTTTTAATGTTTTTTTCAGACAGGTATGAAATATAAACAGTCTTTAAGTCTACATGTCTTTCAAACAAAATATTAAAAGATCAATATAAGCTTGAAATGTAAATGCTTGTTGTGATATTATTGAGAAAAATAAACTGTTTAATAAAAAAACTTTATCAACTGTTTAAATATACAGAAGAGAAATTGAAAATTTATTACGATTGAAATATATGTAATGTTTTTTTGTTGTAAACATTGGTAAAAGCCAACTAAAACATTAAACTTGCTATATGTTCACTATCTGTGTTACTGGGGAATGTGGTCTGGTCATCTATATCAACACAAGACAAGGCAGTTGTCAACACAAAAAGCTGGTTGTGCAACAGACAGCTAAACAATATTACCATCAAAACATAAAATGCACTAGAACTACTTGCAGTTCTTTAAAAACTGAACAAAAATTGCAGCAAACTTCAGTGGAGAAAGTGTAGGGGTCAGGTAGATTTTTGTGTTTATATCTAGTTCTACATGACATAAGACAGCTTACTCTACTTGCTACCCGTTACATTTTATACAACAGTAAAAAAAAACAATGTCATGAAAAAGGTTCAAACGCTTCAAACTGTTACAACACAAAGAGCACGAGGATCCTCATAATTACATTCCTCCATCAGTACACTAGAAAAGATGCACAAGTTACTCCTACATCTGTTACCATAGTTACGGCTCAGTTCCAAAAACGCTACTGTCATGTGACGGAATGAAGTGTCGGGGTGTCAGGTGGGACAATATCAACACTTACCTTGCGGTGACTACAGCATTCTTGGGGGCCATCCCTGGAGGTGGTTTTGGGACTCGGTTGTCAGCATCAAGCTGTAGGGGCGTGACGCTGCGGAGGGCATCTGTGGCATCCTGGGATAAATAGTCTAGGCGTGGTGCTGAAGCTGATCGTCTTTTGGCGGGAGAGTGCCTCGCGGATAAGCCAGACTGTTTACCTTGTCTATCCTCAGCGGAACCGGTGCTTGGCATTTTTTTTTCATTGCATAGAGCGTCAGAAGCACGGGGAGATCTATTAGCCTGGCTTGAGAAAGCACTATTGATATTTGAATTTAGGTGCGGATGCAAAATGTCCACAGCCTCTGTACTTATCTCTCGGTTTACAACTTCCTTCACATCCTCCAGCTGATACTTATCTGTTAACCTATCTCGGGAGCCGTGAACATTGTCTCTCATCTTCAGGACATCATCCAAGTCTCTAGAATTACTGTCTGCATGAGTCGAGTATTTAAATTTTTCTTCCATATTCTTGTCCTTCTTGGAACTCTGATATGGAGGTGGCTTACCTGTTGCAACAAGCTTTGAATGCACTTTACCCGATTTCTTGTCATCGCTGGACAATTCTCGACCTTTGAACAAAAGCTTTGATGGACTACCAGGGCTTTGTTTGAGTGGGGATCCAATCCGATTGCCTATATCTTTGGCCAGTTTTTCTGGCATTTTCCTTGGACTAGAGAAGTTACTCTGCTTATTGCTGTTTATATCGTCTTTATTCTCAAAACTGCTGATTCTCTGCAGACTTCCCGAACCGAACACACCTTGAGATTTTGGCATTGCTTTCCCTTCATGATCCTCTGCTTGAACACCTTGCTGTTTCAGTTGAGCAAAAAAATCCTCATCTTCATCCTCATCAAACACCAGCGAACCACGGCACGCATCTTTCGACTCCCCCTTATCATCCAGGAATACCAATGAATTCCTGGCAACGCTGTCATAGTTCATGTCATCCCCATCTGCTAGAGTGTTAGTCTGGCCTCTCTTAGACCGACCCTTCGGCCACCGGAGTTTCACCTCTCCTCCTCGGGCAGCACTCTCCTCCTCCGACTGGTCATCGTCACTCTCCTCGCCACTCGAGCCGAACGCTGACATACCAATCCACTGACTGGCAACTGTAAACGGAGCAGCTCGAGTAGCCATTTCGTCTGCATTGTCATCTGCAGCAGTGTGAGTTTTATCATCCGTCTGCAAGGCAAACGTGAGAGGTGCCCGACTGACTGGGAAGGTCACATCTGGGAGGTTGTCGTTGATATTGCACCCATTGTCATCCAATTGGTCATCGTCAACATCTATAGTCACATTTCTAACTAATTTTTTTTCTACCACTTTGTCTTCTACAATATCATCTACCTGTCTAGCGTTATTATCAGATATATGAACCTGCTCCACCTGATTAGCCAGAACAAGATTTTGTGTAGCACCAACGCCATGAGTTTGATTATGCTGTGGTAAGTGTATCAACACTGCTGTATCCTTCTGCTTTAAGGATTCCTTCTCCTCGTTCCCATCTTCCCTGTTCCGGTCAGTACTGATTGTTCCCAACTTTTTCAGATACGAAGATCTCTCCACCTGTTCCGAAATCTTCCTCATCCCTTGTTCCCCACCCACCATCTCCGATATCCTGAACGTTGGAATAGGAGCAATGTCATCAGCTGCTTCCTTCTCTTCAATCAACACACCGTTATTACTCTTACTATCCTTGCTGCCATTTTCCTTTTGTTGACCTTCACCTTCAAGTTCCTCCTTTCCTTTCTGCTCAGCCTCGTATTTTCCGTCCTGTTTTTCAACGTCAGCTTTCTGTGACAAGATGATCTCCACTTTCTCTTCCCACAGCTTGTTGTCCATCTCTCGCGGGTACTTATTGTCCCCGATAATCAGGTCACCCGGCTGTTTCTTTAGGTTTTCCTCATCCTCCTGGTTGTAGCTCAGGTTCTCGTCAATCAGTTCAGTGGCGCCATGTCCAGGTGTGTTAGGACCAACTTGTAAGTTACTGTCAAAAGATCATTGAATTGAATTAGCCTGTTCATGTGAGATCTTGGATTTTAAAGACCCCTATGTGCCCGAGAATTGACTCAGCAAGAGAAAGGGTATAACACAACAGACAGCTTAAGTGTTATCAAATCTGGAGCAGGAAAATCAGCAATATTAGAACTAACCAGAAGCCTGTAAGTAACTGAACCTTACCCCAAAAATAAACCAATGGATGATATTGAACAAAGCCCCACACTGTTAGGTTACTATGTCACAAGCCTGTTCACAAATTAATCTTAGCTCCAACACAATCGTGGGCATTGGTGGGGTAGCCAGGTGGTTAATGCATTCGCCCGTCATCCCACATGGGTACAACGTGTGAAGCCCATTTCTGGTAATACCCGGCATGACATTTCTGGAATATTGCTAAAAGCGGAGTAAAATGATAATCACTCACTCACTCACTCACTCTCACACAACTGTAACTCTCATACTTTAACATTAACTTATACTAAGATCGCCTTGTATGTTGTCCTGGTCATACAACCACATTTCCTCACCATAATCAGTTTGTATGGCAAGCATAGGGTACATTACGGCCCTGTTTTGCCATGGTTATGGTGAGGTGAGGTGAGGTGAGGTGAGGTGAAATTGGGTTTAACGTCGTGTCCAAGATTATTGCACTTATATAGCGACGTGCATGCACGTGTGTGTGTGTGGCTGCTTGTACTAGTCCGGACTGATGCCGATTTATAGTGCTACCTCACTGAGATACCATGCCGCAGTTTAACATGAATACCCCACTCAGACACAGTATACTGACTCCGAGCCGACCAGTCCTTCTTGTAGCCCCTTAATGTCGAGCGCCAGACAGGGTAACAACAAGTACCATCTTTTAACGTCTTTTGGTACTACGCGGCCGGGGATCGAACCCCGGACCTTCCCCTCTCCGGGCGGACGCTCTACCACAAGACCACGGAGGCGGTGTCATGGTTATGACATAAGCTCACATTGTGCACATAGCTGCATCACAGTCAATCTAGATTCATAAACATGTGAGACTTGTACATCCACTCAGCACAAAGAAACACAAAATCAGATTAGATATGCAGCTGCTTTCCCTTAAATGGACAATGTAACTCTGAATTCCATGATCATTATTCATAAGATTTGTCACTGTAAATACTGTAAAATTAATGTTTAACTCTATGATGTTATGTACATACCCCTGTCCCCCAGCAGTCTGTTTGATGGCCACAGGTTGTGAGGTCGTGGTCGCGACAGACATGTCAACAAAGGGCTTCTCCCAGTCATAATGATCCACTTCCTTGATGGACTTGCGCCGTATACACTGTTCAAACAGGTTGTGCAGGAGAGCATAGTCGGGCTTGTCGTAGTAGTCCAGGGACTGAATGTGTTCCAGGAAGGTGCGGAACTCCGAAGGCATGTTTTTCAGCAGCAGTGTGTGATCATATTTCTCTTTCATTGTGCCCACTTGTTCCTTGTCCTTAATCTTTCTCCATGGCAACTGACCCACCACGAACTCAACCAGCATGTAGAACAGAGACCACAGGTCATCATGACGACCCATCTCCTAAAATAATGAAGTAAGCATTTTGTGAGGCTTCAGTTCAATTTTGGCAGGTTATCTCCCTTGGAAAGAACTGGGTGTGGGGGTTTCCTTATAATCAATATAAGACTGATTACAGGTTATAAGAGTTATGTCCCTTTAGACAATTACCTCACCATGATACTGGAATTACCATGATTACTGGTAGTTATCTTTGTGAATAATATGCCGAATACAAGACAATATGTAATTTCTGTCTACACTGATCACATTATCACCATGTTGTAGTCTCAAAGCAGTTCCAGACTACCGGAATACACTCGGCCCTACCTTATTCTGGTGAGCATTGACAGAGGCATATCTGACCGTCCCCCTACACTCAGCCCTACCTTATTCTGGTGAGAATTGACAGAGGCATATCTGACTGTCTCTGTACACTCAGCCCTACCTTATTCTTGTGAGCATTGACAGAGGCATATCCGACCGTCCCCCTACACTCAGCCCTACCTTATTCTGGGGAGCATTGACAGAGGCATATCTGGCTGTCTCCCTATACTCAGCCCTACCTTATTCTTGTGAGCATTGACAGAGGCATATCTGACTGTCTCCGTACACTCAGCCCTACCTTATTCTGGTGAGCATTGACAGAGGCATATCTGACTGTCTCCGTACACTCAGCCCTACCTTATTCTTGTGAGCATTGACAGAGGCATATCTGACTGTGCCCCGGAAGCCGGCTGCAGCTCGTGGTGGTCGAACCTCCCCTGTGGCAGTCGTGTACTGGCGGGCTAGACCAAAGTCCAGCATATAAACCTTGCGGCAGTGGTTTGCAGATTTACCCATGGAGAAGTTGGACTGAAATGGAAGAAGAAATGTGTGTTGACATTATGGATGTTAGTACTACTGTCCTGTTTCAGGGCCCAACCACCCCCACACACACACACGCACACGCCCACGCCCACGCCCACGCCCACGCCCACGCCCACACCCACGCCCACACACCCACACCCACACCCACACCCACATCCAGGGTGTGCAAACAGGGATTCGAACCCACAATCATAGGTTTCTGGCAACCCCAAGGAACGCAACACTGCACAGCGAATCACGACGCCTTAGACTGGGCCACCCTGACTTAATTTCAAACACTGCTAATGGCAACAAGGGCAAAACAGTGTCCAATATTAAAAAGCATGAAAATCAAAAGGTACCTCGATTTTAAAATAAATACATATGTTCACAAGAAGTGAACGGGATTGGGTACAACATTTTCCACCTTAGATTGCTCTCTCCAGTAGTTGACCAGCAACATCCAACAATGTCAGGTACAATGACATGTTACTGACCATACATAACCATGCCTGACCACTCAAACCATTTTAATTGCCTCTTTCCACAAGCTAAGGTTAGCTGGGACGTTTGACATGGGTGCCCTTGGAATCAAAATTTCTGCGGGATTCCCTTCTATAACAGAAAACCTGAAGACTGCTTTCATCATTTTGTTTGAGAATTCGTCATTTTTAGGGCATACTTGTACTTGCAGAATACAGCTCAATAAATGAACAATTAGAAGTCATGAACAACTATTAAACCAAGACAAAAATCAAGTCTTTGAATGGCATTTAGAAGTGATACACATAAGGAAGAGAATTTATGGTGACGAAGGAGTAAGCATATACTCCTAAACATTGTGTTCCTCATAATAAAGAAGTTGACATCCATAAATTCTCTTCCTTAAGAAAAAAATCACTAATCTAACTAATCAGCCATGAACTCACTAAAGATAGCCAATCCATACAAAAGAGCAACAGAGTGTTCATCAAGAAGACCCAAGGTGTGTTTGACTCACTACAATGAACAGCAATTAAATATTAATTTTCATTACTGGACAACAGTCTCTTATCGAGCCTTTAACAGTTCTCCATCAGCAATCATGCATGCCACTACCGGCAACCAATGAAGCTTCACTCACTGGTTTAATATCCCTGTGGAGGAAGCCCACTTCATGGATGGACTCAATGGCCTTTAGAATCTGCGCCCCTAGTCTCAGTGTGGTGCTCAGAGAAAAACAACCACGTGGCTGACTGCGTCTCAGCTCGGCCAGGTTCTTGCCTTGTAGGGACATCACCACGTAGTTGTACCTCTCATTTCGACCACAGCCGATGAAGCGACAGACATGATCACGACCTGACAAGACAATAATGGGGTCAGTCAGGAGGACATTAATGTTATGGAGAAAAGTTCATGCACAGTTCAATCTTTGAGGTTAATCAACTGAGTTTGATTGTCCCTTCTCACATCATGACAATACGCTTGTTGACGTCAACACCCTTTCAAACAATCTGCTGCCATAAGTGAGTTGGGACTAATGTCACCTTGATCAATATTTCAGTTAAAACACAGCTTAAATAACAGGACATAGACAATTATCACTTTGGTAAAATCATCACACACAGGTAGGATGACAGACCATGGATCATAATCAGTGCGAATGTGGGATTTGAACCAGGATCAGCGTATCCTTTCATGGCTAAGGGATGCAACTCTGCACAGCAAATATTGGAGCCTTAGACCACAGGGTATTAGAATATCATAAGCAATTACATGAAACACATGGCAGCAGCGTTAGAAATTGGCACTCGTCCTGTAGTCCTTGCCAAACTGCCCAATAGTTAAGGTATCAAAAGGAATAGTCGAAATTCGTCATTTTTAAGGGTTTTGCTCTATGTTATGATTATAAGGACTAGTGGACTAAAACTGTTAGTTTCTACTTCTGTGGCAGCTTGTGGATTTGTACCTTGCAGCTTCTTGAGCACAGCCACCTCCATCTTGAGCACCTGCTTGGGCTGCTTGGCTGACTCCAGCTTCAGAGCCACTGCTTCTTTCGTTACCATGTCTGACGCCTCGTAAATCTCCCCAAACCCGCCGCCACCAATCTTCTTTGTCTAAAGTGTAGATAAGATAATACATGCAACAGACTTCAACATGGAAGATGTCAAAATAAACTAGCCTTTAATATTAAAAAATATAACCTGAGTGGATATGAATTCATCACTATAACCATGGTAACAGAAAATAATCTTTTAAGGATACAAGCCTAAGACATGATCAATTTCAACAAGATAAACAATGCATATTTTTACCTTTAGACAAGATATTCCCAACTCATTTTCTTTATCCATAAACCTGATAAGGTGATGTGTGATACACCACATTCCACATGTATGTGCCCCTCCCTAGTCTAGGCATATGGCATACCAGTCAATTGATCTTGGCATCCAACATGTCCAAATTAAGAACTCTTGAGTTCTATCAGTATACACAGCTGGTTTCAAGTATATTATACTGGGATTCAAGCTCATCAGCTTATGGCTAAATATTTTATTGATTTGTGACTCTTTGCAAAAAAGAAAGGAATTTCAATGTTGAAATATTGGCATCAGTGTACCACATAAACATTGCATGGCATTCAGCGTACTGCACCGCTGCATCCAGAATACCACTTAGAGAGATGGGTATCAAGCATACCAAGTGGGGGTTGGCACCCTCATGTATATGATGTAGCGAATGCTTGTCACAGCCAATCTTAAAAGCTTTTAACACACTTATCAAATCCAAGTCAACAAAAATATTGCTTTTTGTTAAATGAAATGCCTGATAGGTTAGATATTAATGCTGTTTGTTGTGTTTGTGATGGTGTATAATCATGAATATATGAGAAGTTGACCAAATAAAGATCTGAAATTAATTAAAATTCTTGCATTAGTACCAGGACTTATCATCAATCATCAGTACATCACAAAACACAACAACTTACATTGCTCACCCCAAAAATGGGTGTGTCCAGTTTCCACACCCTACTAACCTGGAGCCCCACCCCTTAAATATTCTCTCTTTTATCTTGAGTTGCAACATAGATTTTATCTCCATCCAGTTATTGAGTGAGTGAGTTTGGTTTTAACGCCCTTTTTAGCAATATTTCAGCAAGATCACAGCGGGGGGACACCGGAAATGGTCTTCACACATTGTACCCATGTGGGGAATCGAACCAGGGTCTTCAGCATGGCAAGCAAACACTTTAACCACTAGGCTACTCTACCACCCCTCATCTTAGTATTGTCCACATTTTATGCCACTTGCATAAAGATTTTGTGGTTCACTACAGATATACCTGTCATATAAAGAAAAAGAAATAGCGCAACGGCACTGTAGCTCACCTGACTATGTAGTCAACATATTTCTTTATCATGTTTATGTCAACCACAAATCACAGAAGAAAAAAACAATGCTGGCATAGCAGTATTGGAAATCAAACTTGAACATCTTAAACAAATCCCGGTGTCATCTCTGGTGGGAACAAGTATGATAAGATTCAGCTTCATTGGTCCAGATATATCTCAGATGATGTTTACAGCACCAAGAAATGCATTCTGAGAGAATATAGAAGCACTTTCAAGCTCAAATTCAAATGAAGATCAAAATAATAAGATATCACAAAAAACAGAACATATTTGTTGAGCCCAAATACTAATGACACATATACCATCTTTTACATTTTTCAAACAAAATGACTGACCACTTGCCACAAGCTTTCAATATTGAATATGGTCGAACAGCAAAGGTCAAATCAAGGTCAAATTTAAATACCCCTAAGAACGGAATATATATGTTGATCCCCACTATTCACTACATATATATACCCAATCTCTTAGAATTTACACTTAAAACAAAGTGTGATGGCCATGCATAGGTTATATAAATTTGGCTGGGGTGTCATCACTGGTGGTAACAAGTATGTGAAGTCTCAGCTTCGTGGGTTCAATGTTTTCTAAGGAGAATATGTTTACCGAAAAAGCCTGATACATGTCGGAAGCTGGATGCCGGACGCCAGACAAACAGGACATGACATAAGCTCACTTGCTGTTCAGTCAGGTGAGCTAAAAAGTAAACCCCCGACCTCCCTTCCCTGTTTTGTTGTTAGGTTGAAATAGGGAACACATATATTTTGGGTTGCCTTGTCTCTTAATGTAATGAATGTTGATCACTGGAGAACAAACAAGCAACAACTGCCAGTATGTAAATTAATAAATACGACTTTGACGCCATGTACCAAACAAGTCAAGTCACGAGGAGCAAGATAACAAATGAAAAAGTCCTGATCACTCATGGGTACAGACTTTATTGATTTCTAGTCCCTGTTTAAACGACCGTAATGATTACTTACGACTTTCCATCGGTCCTTGACGACCTGGTTAGGCTGTAGCAAGTCTTCAGTGGTCATGCTGTGGACAGTCCTCTGCCTCCCCACGCTGGGCTATCCACCGCACTGATGCCACTTAACCCATTGTGTTCCACCATCTCAGTGTGCTGCAACATGACATACAGATACTAGTGATGGAGAATGGCCTGAATTTCGTATCGCAATTTATTGCAATAACGATTCATAATGGTGATACGTTCCACAACATATTGCATGTGTTCTTTCATCATGTCCATCTGAAACTGGTTATGAACCTGAACATAAAAACTTGCCCTCACATTTTGGACAACTTCCTATTTTGTTGGACGTTGGATGTGTAACAGACAATATTTCAGCTTTTTCTATTACAGGAAACAGTTCTTAATTTCATAATTTCAATTGACCTTGTCAATTGTTGTCACATATGTAAACTTTTCCAACAAGAAGAAGACATGCATGATTTTGAAAACGTAATATACCGGTATTTTCCAAATGTATTGAGATAAGTATTCATTATTGATTAGTACTTTATATCTTGGGTTACCAGTAATACCGCGGACCTACAACCATGATAACCGATAAATTCAGAGATTTAGAGAAGAGCCTGTGAGTAAGTGGGCTGGGTCGAACGGAATAGATCTTTGAGCACAGGTATGGTGTTGACAGATCTAGAAACGTAATCAAGGCAAACTTTGATTCGAACCAACACTCATAGTTTCCTAAAGCACCTAAGGGATGTAACTCTGCACAGAGAACATGGAGAATGGTGCTGCCTTTGCTGACTGGGCCACTATGAGCTTAGGCAAGGGACTTTGAACATTATTTCATCAAAAACTGGTAACGTGTATTTGCGAGCAGGTTATTCTTTATACAGGGATGTGGAAAATCAGTGCCTGACATGCCCGATTTTGATAACATATTCATAACAAGTACTATATATAGCTTTGAACAAGTGTAAACATCGCGACTATGACCAATCCCACTGACGGCAGTGTATTGTCTACCGGTACTTCCTTGTTCTCATTTACATTTAGGACACACTCTCTGATTGGTTGAACAGAGAACAAGGAAGCCAATTTGTGCAACATACTGTAAGAAGTCATGTCTGTTCTTCATTTGATTACAGTCAAACAATGGATGAATTCATTATTTGTGGTGGGAAAAGCCACACTGATCACCGATCAGTTACTGCTATTTCTTTCATGTTATTTCTGACATATTCCAAAGTTGACTGTACCAATAACTTTAATTTTTGTGAAACTACGGGCAAAGGAGCTTATTTCTGTCCGTGGAATAAGACTCATGTGATTTCTGCTATAACACTACGATAGGGAATATAGTGGAACAGTGGAAATAGAACTTTTCCATCAATTTACTGTACCAGTTATCGCCATCGTCTTAACAGCACATGCCACGTCATAACGTGCACCGCTTCAGTTATACAAATTTTTAAGTATCTGAAGAGACTGTTTGGTTCATCATTTTAGGATAAATATTTCTTTCTTCTAACATGTGTCTAATGAAAACGGGCAAAAGTAAAATGAGATGCAACCACATGCGCACTATAACGGGGAGTTGACGATAATTGGTCCTCGGCGATAACTGGTCGCTAGCCAGTACAGATACGAAAACTGATTCATCAATGTTCCTACCAGAAATATGAATAATATGAACAAGTGGACATTGTCTCTGGACAAGAGAATTGTTACTGTTCAGTTGTTCAGAGACAAGTTCACACATCTGATATTGCCACACCCCTGAGGGGGCACGGGTGGCCCAGCCATCTAAGGCGCTGCGATTCGCTGTGCAGAGTTGCGTCTCTTGGGCACGCCAGAAACCATACCCGTGCTCGTGGGTTTCACCGAAGTGGTAAACAAGTGTGCGAGCTCAGCCTAAGTTACCGCTTATAGATGAAAACCAAGCCTCGCTTTCACACAGGTTATAAATAGATTCAATGCTAAAGACCCCATAGTGACGTCACAGCCCCTGTCACAGGAAGTGAAAAATCCTTGGCTCTACACCTACCTCATATAAACCTTTAATTACAAATCCTATATGTACATGTAATGTTTTCATATATTTCCCATTTCCACATATGTCAATTTATCAAAATAATACCTAAATATAACCCATCCATGCACTGTAGAGGCTGTGAGAACATGTTTATTGAAGTCACGTGACCTCAAAATATTCTCTCACAGGGTAGAAGTCATTCACAAAAATATGGGTTCCATCTATCTTAAAGGGAGGAGTGGCCAATTCCTATGTTTCCTGCAATCACTGATCACTAAGGTTACTAATTCCAACTTAAAATAGGAGGAGCTACAAATGTAAACATGTTTTTAATTGGATAAAAGACAGTCCCCAGTTTCCCCCTCGAAGTGACCAAGAAGTCCCACACAGAGCGGCCAGAAACATAAATAAATCTGGCACGTTACTGATAGCATCACATTCTTGTGACAGATATGTTACTTTAGGGCAGTTTAACACCGTTTGTTTAAATTTGAGTTGACTGATATGTCATTGAGGGACTAATTTGTGTGTCAGGGGTCGAAACTGATGGTTTACAGGTTGTGGTGTTTGACATTTGGTTCTTTCTGTCTTAAGTTGTCTGGACATAGTTTGTCAGTGTTATCACACTGAACAGACATTTGCACTTAAATAAATCAGAACTTAAATCTTAAATATGTATTGGTTTGTTAGTTTTAATTAGGGAAAGTAACCCTTCGCAGCATCGGAAGTAGTCAAGATTTTAGTCACGTGACCTCTATCAGTAAAATGATTGGCTCAAACCTATCAGCTGCTGTAGCAGTATACCATGGTATACTACTTTTACTGTTGTGGTGGACGATTACTTTTGGATTATACCTTGGCTATTGCAGTTTTATGCTCAGTCATAGCTAAATCATGTGTTTCAACTGTTATTTTCTTTGAACTCACTTGGAATACCAGTCTCTTACTAACTATTTATCATGATGCAACTTCCAAGTGACACCACTGGAGATTTGTCAAGAAAGGTATGAACATATTGGAATTCTGGCACTTCTAAAACTAATGAATTTTCAAGTGGAAATAAGACTTGTGTATGCATTAATATTATATAGAAGTTTAAGCGCTTGTAGAATTTTTGCATCTTGTGAATGTATGTGCATTTATGCCATCCAACAAGTCAACAAGAAAAAATAATGGTATTCCTCCTGAGAAAAATGTAAGGCATCGTATCATAATGGTAGCCCATGTCGTCCTTGTCAGGTATGCATAAAGTTGGGACAATTTTAAAAAAGATGATCCTCATCATGAAATGAATAAACCTTATTGTCCAGGTGAAAAGCATTAATATCAAGTGAATATATTTTGTAACATGGAAAGCTAATAAAAGTACAAAGAGTTGTTTCAGTAAAAACCTCTGTTTAAAAACTCCAGTTGACAGAGACTATAGAGTGAATATGTCATCTGCTAGCAAATTGTATTTACTGTTTGTAGGTCGCACTTGAGAACAAGGCTTGGTTTTTACGGGAAAAGATATCAATTACAAAATTGAGGCTAAGCTCGCACACTGAAACGTCTGAAACCTGCATCACTTCGGGCTTTCCTCCCACATTAAGCTGACAAGCCGCGATATAACTGGAATACTGTTAAAAGCAGCGCTAAACACAACTCACTCACTCACTCCACATCCCTGCTCAATCAAAGGGGACATATTCAAGACTGTTTTAGTTTGCTGTGTTTGGTTTGAGAAACACTAACCACGGTAAACAGAAAAATCATCCACATACATATATTTTAAAAACAACAACATTCTAACCAGTTTAAACTCCCATTTCACAAGGGGTTTATGTACAGCAATAGATTTATAATAATCTTAATCTTAAGTCTGGGGTATTCAGGTATGGTTTAGTAATACATGTACCATCAGCATTCTGGAGGTTGGTACACAAGGCTGGTTGGTTTGTTGTTTTAACGCCGCACTCAGCAATATTCCAGCTATATGTAAATAATCGAGTCTGGACCAGACAATCCAGTGATTGACATCATGAGCATCGATCCATGCAATTGGGATCGATGACATGCATCAACCAAGTCAACGAGCCTGACCACCCGATCCCTTTAGTCGCCTCTTACGACAAGCATAATTGCCTTTCACGGCAAGCATGGGTTGCTGAAGACCAATTTTACCCGGATCTTCATGGGGATGGTATACAAGTAATGACATGGATATCAGCTTGTTTATTCAAACTTTCATTCAAGAGTAAACAAGACAAACATGCTGTTGTCCATAGCTTGTTATTTATGGACATAAAAAGGCATACAAAAACAACAAATCTACCTAAATAATTACATTAAAAAACTGAAACCGGACATAATTTCAGCTGCTTGTAACCATGGTAACATGGACATGATCTTGATGTTGTAAATCCCTTGATTCCATAATCAAGGAAGTAAACAATTTGAAACCACGACCTCCATATCTCTAGAATTTGAAACATATCATTTACTGTTCACAATTGTCAAGCAGGTCTGCCGTCAACGTGGGTGAATTTTGCATCACATCACAATATGCCCATGCCCTCCAACACTTGCAGCAACTAATCAAGCTGTAAGAGGCTTCTTCCTTCCAACAAATCAATATGTCATGACCACAATCTTACCAGGATGTCTGTAAGCATGGTAAGCGTGGTTAGCTCTGCCTATCACAATCATTCCAATACCCTCACGCTGTTTCACAAAGCACCTTATAATCAAGCAATGATCAAGCTCTGGCATCACACACATTATTTGCCTTCCATGGAAGCACCAGACACATGGAGAGGCTTTACCATTCGAATAATTGGAACATGTGAGAAACATTAATTACTGACACAGTCTGCAACCATAGCCACAAGTCTGAAGCCAGAGTCTAGTAAAGCTTCTTCCTTTCTGGTTTGAACAGCTAATATTTCTCCATACATCAACACTAAAATCTACAGAAATGATTTGAAAAGACTAATTCAGACTTGGCATGCCTGTAGGCATAAACAAGCCTTGTAGCCTGATAAAAGCTTTTGGCACAGACTACAGACATCTGCAACTACAGCCATGTAAAGCATTAATTAAATATACAATACTAATCATATTTGCTTTTCCCACA